AGAGAGTGGACAATATTTCTAAACATGATAAAATGCTCCTTAAATTTACTTTGGAGATTGAAATTTTTTATGTTTGGTTTTTAGACTTTATGGGTCCCTTTGTACCATCGTTAGAGAATTTATTTATTTTGATAGTTGTGAACTATGTCTCAAAATTGATTGAGGCAACGCACTTCCAAATTATAATGCTCAAAGTGTAGCAAATTTCTTAAAAAAGAATATCTTTAGTATATTTGATATGCCTAGAGTGATCATTAGTGACGGAGGAGCCAGTTTAGGAATAGAAAAATTGAGACATTAGTTAGTAAGTATGAAATTAAACATAGAATTTTCATGGCTTATCATCCTTAATTAAGCAGTTTAACAGAGGTATCTAGCAGAGAGATCAAAAGGATGTTAAGAGAAACTGTTAAATCTAATTGAAAGGATTAGTCTTTATGATTAAATTATGTATTATGTGCCTATAGGATAAAACATCTATATGAATGTCTCTATATAGGCTCATATTTAGCAAAGCTTGTCACTTACTAGTAGAATTAGAACATAAAACATATTGGGTTGTTAAAAAGTTCAATAATAATATGAAAGATACTGGTGAGAAAAGATTATTACAGTTAAATGAGCTCAATGAAATTAAATAAGAATTTTATGAAAATGCTAGAATTTATAAAAAGAAAATGAAAAAGTGGCACAATTAAAGGTTTTTTAGGTAAGATTTTGAACCTGGACAAGAGGTTGTACTGTATAATACCCTACCACTTTTAGGATCTTTAATATCAATTGTAACAAAAAAATAAACTTTTACTACAATAAACTTGCTAAATACTTCTTCTAGGTTGGTGGAGTTGATGCATGATTGTGTAATAAAATGAACTTACAAAATCATTGAGAAGGATTTAAAATGAGTAATGGCTATGATGTTCTTATTTATTATTAATGATTGGTTGTGCTTTAATTCTTTTATGTGTTATATTATAGTTAAGATAATTAATGTTCAACTTTTTGCTATGTTATTTATATAGTGTATCATGGCACGTAAAGCAATGTAAAGGTACAACATGAACCCTTAAATGATTAAGGGGATGATTATCCATAAATAAAAGCAAATCTAAATTTAAAAACATTTGATATGACAATAATAATAGTGCTCAACTAATAAACCAAATTTACATTTAAATTAGTGGAAGTTTTCATTGTGACTCCTTCATCCATATACAATGTCAAATAGATGTTCATTGATGGATTTATGTTATACATAACTTACCAAGGGCCGGTACACCTCACTTCACTTAAATAGAGAACAAATCATGCAACCTGTCCTTATAACCATCAACTACCTACTACATTAATTGAACCCTCCATTTATTTATAGAAGTTTGTGTTTTTTCATGCTCAAACTAATCAATATTATTTAATGTACTCCTTACATAAGAATAAATATTTTTTTTACTAGAACGAAGTATTAGAAGTAACACTATGCTCTTTTGCCTCTTTTTGACTTAGTGCTTGAGAACAGTAAATTATGGCTAGATTAAATTAATTTAATGCCATTATCATTACGTAATATAAAAGCAATACATATTCATTTTTATAGTTTATTTTTCAACCCCTCAACACAAACATCAATACCATAATGAAATAGGAAATCTAAGGGATTGCTTGCTAGCATAATTTAAACAAGATTCATGTTATTTTGCTTTCCCTTCCATTTATTTTTTGATGTAAATAGAACTTGAAAAAAATGCCAACCATGTCTAACAATTTTAATTAGATTTAACCTCAACTGAACCAAACACTATTATGGATTTAAAATTATATGTATTTGATAAAATTGAATTTATCGGATTTACTACATCGTATTAAACGTAAATCTTGAGTGCAGCCAAACACCTCTTAAGGTTCACTACCTCTTGGCCTCTTATCACTTTTTAAACTCTAATATGACTATATCATCTCCTTACGAATCCCAACTCTCTAGCTAAAAGTACCATACTCTAGAAAATATCTAGGCCTTTAGTGATCCACAAAAGTTAGATTACCATGATACATTCTAGGTTTCACTATTTTCAAGAATTAATAGCTTGTACATCCTACTAAATTTCCTTAAAAATATAAAAACCCACATCCATTATCACCAGCATTAGCCTATTGATCTATAATTTAATAACCTTGGTGAAACTTATAAAGACCTAAACTAGAAAAGCTTTGTTCAACTATTTACAACATTAGAAGATTCAGTATGGGAGCAATTGGATGCTAACTTAGGACGTTAATCAAAAGATAATTCATATGAATATTGCTAATACATTGGCCAAAAATATCATAGATTGATTGGAGCTAGCAAAGAGGGTGCTAACAAACCTTTAACAATAGGTTTTAGTTATAATTTTGGAGAAGAGGTTGAAAGTTGGGGCATTGAAAGGAAATTGCCAATGGCAAATTGAGTTGGATAATGAGGTGTCAACCATTTTTTGAGATGGGATTATAGTCAACACATGTATGAAATAATTATAAAATGAAGCCACTAATCATTATTTGATTGATGAGTACCATGATGCAAACTGATTAGAAGACATTTAATGAAGATGACATTGAGAGATTATTTGTGAGGAATGCAATTAACCAAAAGAGTCATTTGTCTGTACGAACTTCTAAATCACAGAAACTTACAGAGGAGAATTTCAAATGAATAATCCTTACGAGGCAACATATAACAACTTTGAAGTAATAACTAAAAGCCTTGACTCAAAGTGAAGGTTAAATTAAATTGATAAGAAAAATCATTAGGGTATGATATTGCATTGAGCGACCATGTCCTACAGTTTTATCGAGTTAATCCAATTAGTTGCTTTTGAAGATCCTAGAGCTTAAAAACTATTTGGCCTGCATATGTTTTGAAATAGGTGGAAAAATAATTGCATGTAATAATTAAAAAAAAATTGAGCAATACAACTTCTTACATTAAAAGTACTAATAATATTAAAAATATTAATATAAAATAATAATTTTAATTAATGCATAATTTTTTTTTTTTCAATTTACTTAAAATCTTAGTCACCATTAAAATCTATAACTTAAGGCCATATTAATAATTTAGAAAATGAGGTTTGATAATTTGGCCTTATGAATTTGAGAAAATCATTCATTCCTACCATTAAAATTACTGAAGTCACATATGAGTCATATATTTATAATCAAAATTCAACATCCCACAACATGAAGTTTCGGGGTGGAACCTCTTGACACGACTTTATTGACTCCACTTCATAAAACAAAATCTCCACCTATTTTTCATGGTATCCATTTTTTTAATTCCAATACTTGTTATTTATGGCTTTTAAACTGATATTCACAATGTCTCTTATTAATGAAAGAAAACATGAGAGATTTCCTTATATGATGTAAAAATCTTGGGGGTTGTTTTGTTTCAAGCAAGATTTTAACTAAATTAGGATTTAATATGTAAAAAAAAAATCCAAATTTAATAAATACCATAAGGGAAAAAAATCCAAATTTAATAAATACCATAAGGGTTAAATTTTAAGAATTATTTGGTATATATTAAATCAAAATAAATTCTAATAAACTACTTATTCCAATATTTAACAATTTATATGCTTATGGTATCTTTTCATATCTATTTGGCCCACACCCATCTTAAGTAGACACATTAAAGCATAACTAGTATAATTTAACAACATGAATATTAAATATTACTAATTAACTTAACCTATATACATACTGATTCATTCATTTGATTGATTAATGACAATCAAAATTAAGTTAATGAAAGGTTGTTATATTTACTATAAATTACTGCAATAAACTAAAAAAAAAATAATCTAAATATATATCACATAATTCTTATGCATTGATATATATAATACTTAAAATTATGTGTGTGTCTTAAAATTATGTGTGTGTGTGTGTGTACAGACATACATACATACATAAAAAAAGTAATTTTTCACTTTTAAAATAAGTGAGTGATATTTTTGTTTTTTTTTAAATTTGAGTGTTATGCATATGATTATAAAAATATATTTTATAAATATATGTAAATACATAAAAATATGTGGCTTGCATGGAAATGTCGTAAATAGTAATGCTATTATATTTTTTAGGAAGATTTACAAACATGCTACTCAATTCCTAATGTTTAAACTTCAAATTTTTAAATGCATACCAACTTAGCTTGCATGAAAATGTATATTTCACATTTTAAAAATGAAAATAACGTTACTCTTGTGTGATATGAAATATTTGGGTGATATAAGTATAAAAAGCAAAGTATATATGTTAGATATGCAAATATATAAGAAGTAGGTAATATGTATGTAAATGCCCAATATTTGATTTATCTGACCGCTCCTGCCCTAATACCCAAAACTATTTGATTGTAAGTAGGTTTTAATTTAAATAGGATAAAGTAAATCTTGTAAATTTGGATTTATCAAATTTTGAGGTGGTTAGATTTTGAAAACTGTTTGATATGTTAATAAATAAAGTCTGATAAATCCTGAAAAATTATTTGGCACTTTAGAATAATTTAATTTAATTTATCAGAATTTATTAAATATCCAAAGATAAAGATTAAACTAAAAAAATACAAATGACTCTCCAAAACTTCAAAGTGTATAAAAAAGGACATTTGCATTAATTAATACTTAGTTATGTAAATTAATAATTAATAAATTTTTGTGTAAACCATTTACATGTCAAGTAAAAATTTAGTATTAGTTAATTATTAATTATATAAATTTAGAATTATTAAGAATTTTATTAAATAATTTAAATGTTAAAATAAATTTATTAGTTAATTCATTAATTATCAAAATTACATGTAAACTAATTTAATTATAATAAATTTGATAATATATAAATTAATTATCAGTTATTAATCAATTAAATTAATAAAATGAATTTAAATAATAATAATAATAATAAATTAAAATCACATACTTATCTCCCTCCTCCCCTCGCTGCCCGAAACACTCACGTGATTTTTAATTTGAGATGTCCAAAACCCTAATTTTCGTCACCCCTCTCCTGGTTTCGCCCAAAACGACCGCCTTCGTGAACGAAGCTAGGAAGGAAAAGACGGGATCGCGGCTTACAGAGACTACCGAAACTCCAATCTTCCTCATCCTGTCTCTCAGCTCGTACCAGAAATCATTGAGGAAGGTGAGCCTGTTCGCGCCATTTTCTCTCTTGACTCGTCCCGGGTTTACTAAATCCGCCGATTCACAGGATTTTTTAAATTCCGGATTTATTGCGCATCGTCGCCATTTTGGGATTTACGGGAGCTCAGGATTTACGTAGGCATTTTTTGCCGTCTGGCAGGATTTAGCTTAAATCATTCTTAAAACCGGCTACCAAACTGCCCCGAAGCATTGACCGGATCGGCGGCGTGTCAAGGTGAAGACTGGTGCTCGTTGGGGGCAGGCATTGACGGGACCGACAGCTTTTGAGGAGAGCATGCGTTTGTAATTAGAGGCATCGACGGTACCTGCGGCGTGTGAAGAGAATAGTTCTTGAAGTTTGCTCACTGGTGAAAGTGCGCCGCGGATCTATCAAAAGCCCGGTTTTAGTAATTCTGGGATTTGAGGTACAACGAGGGAGAAACCGGATTTATTTATAATTCTGTAGGATTTAAGTCTGCGATTTTTATTGTTTGGCTGGATTAAATTTAGATCTTGCTTAATCCAGCTACCAAACAGTGTTTGCTATATGAGACGAATTGAAGCGAAAATTTTGCTGAAAGTTATAAAGTTACGGCATTGTACTTTTCTGCCATCATTTGTACAAGGGAAAAGTAAAATTTATGGTAACTTCAAATCATTCAACAAAATATTCGATTGATTACATGTAGCTTCACTTGAAAATTTTTAATGAACTTTCAAGAATATTTTTAATGAATGTGAACTATAGCTAAAACAAGGGAATTCAGGATCATTAGATTACATACAACATTAGTAGCACACCTTAAATAAATAATGAATCAATCTTTGATGTAAAAATAACACTGTGGGAGCTGTATTTTCCAAACAATAGCTGCTGTTGTGATAAAAACTTTCAACAAATTTTTCAACAAGCACATTTTTGAGAAAGGGTGTGATTTTACCAGAGGTGTGTTAGAATTCAAGGAAATAAAACAATTATAGATGTAAATCATATCTATATTTAAATGCAATAATATTGAATCAAATACTAAGTATTTAGCAGATAATGCTGACATCTAAATAATCTTTGATCAAACAGCACTTAATAGGGAAAAAGGAGCTTTGCCGACTTCAGTAAAGGCTTAAAAAATATAGCCTGTGAAAAGACTGCGTTTTCAAGATGCAGCACGATGACGTCATATGGGATGTCATTAGACACCACCACTGCAGCTTTATGGCCAAGTACTAATCATCATTTTTTGTACTTGATGATTTTAACTTAAGCCTATATCTATGAAATTTCTTATATGTCGTGCTAAAGTTTGGTTCTTGGTGCAGGATAACTACTGGAAATTTCTGTCGGAATCCATATAATGTCACTGGAATTTGCAATCGGAGCTCATGCCCTCTTGCAAATAGTCGTTATGCAACAATTCGCGATCATGATGGTATTGATTGTTTTCACTTTAGTCGATTATAAAGCCTAATTTTATGTTTTTTAATGTGTGCTCTCTCTAGAACTATGGGTGATCAAATAATTAAAAGGTGTGATTCTTGGGTCTATGTTCAAAGTGATGGTGGTATAGATGGGGATGTTAGTAGTAGAATTCTAGCTGGTTGGTTGTAATGTAGGAATGTATCGAGCCTATTTTCTAATAGAAAAGTACTGCTTGAACTTGAAGGAAAATTTTATAAGATGGTGGTGACACCTGCAATGATTTATGGAGCAGAATGTTGGCCTTTAAAAGAGAAGCTTAAAATTGAGTTAAGTGTTGTTGAGATGAAAATGCTTAGGTGGATGAATGGCTAAGCGCTTACTGACAAAATGCACAATCAATGTATCCGTTAAAGTTTTGGTGTAGCTCTAGTGGCAGACAAGATTAGAGAGAGTCATCTTAGATGATTTGGTCACATTAAACGTCGACCATCTGATAATCTGATTAGTAGAGTAGATATTTTTGATTTGACTTTTGGTAGGAATGGCAGTTGTAGACCTAAAAAGACTTGGGCATATTATATAAAAACTGATCTTAATTTATTAGAATTAAATGAAAATAGACACTCAATAGGACAATGGAGAAAAAGGATTCATGTAGCCGACCCCACTTAGTGGGATAAAGGCTTGTCGTTGTTGTTGTACTCTCTTTGGAACTTTACTACTTTTCTTGCAAGCAATTATGTACTCTCTTTGGTTGCATGAATGAATTTCTATTTATGTTTACTGCAGGTTATTAGAATTCTACCATCGAGTTATAAGTAGAGTAAATAGCTCTTCATTGGTTGACCCCTAGATTATGGTCAATGCATTTGCGTTAAGCATTAATGCAACTTTTTATCACTATGATATGACTAGTTCTAAGGGCTCATGGTTGAATGTTTACCAGTATGTATTTTTTTGTTTTCTTGTTAGAGTTGAAGTACATAGGTTTGTTACTAGGTTTCATTTTTGCATCAGCCATAACAATTCATTAGCTCATTCTAGCATGTTACCTAGTTTTTTTATTTTTTATTATGAGAACATGATGATCTTCAAACATAAATTGAATATTAGATCCTTAATTTTGGATAAATGTTAATGTCTTGAAGATGTTTTCATAAGAATAAACAATGTAATAGAGTATGGTTTTTCTGTTTTTCCGTTCTTTTAGAAACATGGTTCTTTTTGAGAGTTGGGTCATCAATGCAGTATTTTGAGATGTGACAAAGGAATTGTATATGGATTTTAATTGATTAATTGACATTAACTGTGAATAATGAGGGCATTTCAAAGTTGACATGGTATTGATTTTGTTCATTGAATGCATCATCTTCTGTTCATCTTTTTTTCAATCCCATTGTTTTTGGCCAAGGAGACTTTAACCTACTCTTCAGCTCCTGCACCATTTTTTGCTCATCTTGATTTCACTGCCCCATTTTTTTTGTTCATCTTGATTTTTTTTTACAAGTTTTTTTTTTTCGAATGCCAATATGCCCCAGTTGTTAACTAATATTAGATTCAAAAAAAATTTGCTATCAAGAAACTAAGTTTTGTTTTCACTTCTAATCATATCATTGGATCATATGGAACGATCCCCTTTTTGGCATTTCTGACCTAGATAACGTTGATTCCTACATGGAATGTTATGCATATTCCTCTGTAAGGTTCCATTTTCTTTTATATTTTATTGCCACTTTCTCTTACATGTGTTTTTACTAGTTTATTACCATTTTGACTAGCACATATTTTGTTATCAATGATTTTGATTCATTGGCACCAAGCTGAGCATTACACAACTTTGTAATTCTCTACTAAAAAATTATCTTTAGATAATACCTTCTTTTGTAACCGACATTTTGTTTGTCTGAATAACCTTTTTAGTTTAAATATTTTTTTTCCTATGATCAGCCACTCATCAAGCACTTACCTATAGATTTCTCAAAGTTGTTCGAACTCATTTAAGTTTTTTGGTATGCGGTGAATTGATTGTATCAAAAAACTTTTGAAAATTAAAATTTTATTTTATTTTAATCAGTAGAAAGCCTAGGTTGTAAATTATTTTATTTTTTTTCCAAGGTATTAAAGGAAAGAATACCAAAGCAATAACGAAAGAGACACAATTTTTATGTGATTCAGCTTCTCGACTTACACACCCATGTTTAGCGACCCCCTAGTTAGGATTCTCCATTAAACTTGCATTATTCTTAGGTGAGCACAAAAACATCACAAATAATACTCTTCACAGGTGAGCACAAAATTTTGACAAAATTCACACACATGTACTTTTCTCCCAAGGACAAGTACAACAACAACATATTTTCCTCCAAAAGATAAACAGTTTCACCATAAGTTCATAATAAAAGATAAAACCAGAAATGTTACTGTAATGGAATCACACTTTCAAGCTTGCACAATCCTTAATAAAGCCAAAATGATAAATGATAAACTTACTCATAACTACTTTTTTATATTTTAGAATATTTCAAATGAAGTGCAAATTAAAAGTAAAAGAATTATGTAAATAATATTAAATATACATTTCAAAATTTATCCATGAAATTTAAAATACATTGAAGATGAGATTTTCAAATTTAAACAACCAAAGATCAATATGAAGTTAAGTCTGAAAATCATGAAAAGAAAAATTGAAAAGAAATCTTACTTAAGAACTTCAAATGAAAAACATATCCTATATCTTTAAGGCAACATTAGATTTTTTTGAAGATGATGAATTTTAGTTTTGATGCCATTGTAATGAAGCCTTAAAATGCTTAGGCTGACCAAGTAAAAAAAAATATTCTCTTCTTTTTTTCACTCCAATTAAGTGGGTTTCGAGTGTAAAAATAGAAGAGGAGAGTATACTCTCAAGTGATCAAGAGATGAAACTTAAAAATTTAGTTTTTTTAGAGCAAAAGAGCACGCTTAAATACATATTCAATTATTAAAATTGGAGGGAGTTTAATTTAAAATTATTTGATGCTCAAAGTTGAATTCAAGAGGGCAATAGTATGAAATTAATTTTAACTTTTGAATTATCTATATAATTAATTGATAACTAGATTATTTCAGTTTAAATCAATTAAACTGATTTAAGAGAGAGGGAGAGGTACGGCCCAATCATAAGTTTCTTGATTATATTTGATTTGATTAAATTAAATCATGTAATTCAATTAAATAATTCCCTTCAATTTATATATTGCCTTAATTATTTAATTAGTTGATTAAATTATTTAATAAAATTTAGGAAGGGATGAAAAGAGGGACGCTCAAGCCATGCCATAATTAATAAATTAATTAATTCAATTCAATTCAATTAAATTGAATATAGAAGAAAGAATATAAGGAAATTATTTAAAAAGAAATTTATTACTGTCATAATATTGAATTTCAAATAATTTTTTGAAAATATTCAAATCATTTTCAAATATGTAATTAGTTGAAATTCAAAATTTTAATATTCATATCTTTAAAGTTAAATGACTTCTTTATATTCTTTCTTCTTTATTTAATTAATTTAATTAAATGAAAGAAATTAGTTTATTAATGATGGGATGGCTTAATTCATTTAAATTAAGGAAATTTAGTTATGTCATCAATTAAATGTAAGGCTTAGAAATTGAAATTAATTTCATATTTGTTTCCCTCTTAAATTGAAATTTGAGTTTCAAATAATTTCCTAATTAACGTTCCTGCAATTTTAATGCTCCTTTTTTTCTTAAGCATGATTTATTGCTCCAAAAAGTATTCTTTGCCAAAATTTTCAAGTGCTCTCTTCCTCTCTTAAATGTCTCGTCTTCTCTCTTGTTCTTACACTTACATATCTAATAACTTGGAGAGAAAATAGAGTAAAATTTCCTTGTTCTTTTTTGACCAACCTAAGCACTTTAAGGCTTCATTAGTAAGGCATCAATTTTTATCTTCATCATCTTCAAATAAACTAATGTTGCTGTGAAGAGATATTTTAAGTTCTCTGATAAGATTCTCTGTAAAAATTAAGGCGAAACAAATATTTATTGCAAGAATATCAAACACTCAAGTAAAATACAAAGATAAGCTCCTACAATTCCAGAGATAGACGATCTTTTCCAATTCCTACAATTCGAGAGGTAGGAAATCTCTTCAAAATCCTTACCATCTGAAGACCCGATCTCATGCATAACCCTAACTCTAAACATATTAGCCATATTTATACTAAACAATAATAAATGGTAAAAGTCTAAATTGCTCTTTGGCGCACAAAAGACAAAATTGCCCTAACGATAGGCACCGATGTATCAATACAAGATTATAGAGAGTCGCCTTAGATTGTTTGGTCACATTAAATGCTGACCATGTGATGATCCACTTAGCGGAGTAAATGTTTTAGATTTGACTTATATTAGTAAATGTATAGGTAGACCTAAAAAGATTTGGGCATGTTGTGTAAAAAATGATCATAATTTTTTAGAATTAAATGAAAATATGATGTTGTCACAATGGAGAATAAAGATTTATGTAGCCGACCCCACTTAGTGTGATAAAGACTTGTTGCTATTTGATAGATCTCTCTCAGCACTTAGTGGTTCTCTTGGATATCTAAATGTCTTGAAGCGTCTGGTTATGAATATCATGGATCAGAGGTGGTGCTAGGCTATGGTGGTCTCATGTAACCTGCATGCATTTCTGTACTGGGAACAGTAGGCACCTTTGAGACTGGGCTAGAGTTTGGTAAGAGAATAACAATGGTTTAAAGATGGCATTGGATGGTATTGAATGCATGATGGCTAGATTTTGGTTTAGTTGTAGGCTTGGGATGATCTACGTATGTCGTCCTAAGCTATTGGATTTCTTGAAATGCATCTAAGAGCATTGCTAGCTAGCTTTTGTAACCTAGGTGAAGGCACATGGATCTGGAATTTAATTAAATTCACGGCAAAACTCAAAGGCTTTGATACCATCTACTCTTTCCTTGTGCTTTATATCAGAATTCAACATTCTGTACTTTCAAAAGCGACACTGTTCAAGAAATTAATATTTATAGCATGTACATTTATTCTACCATCTTATTATTATTATTATTATTTACATATTTTTGGGGGTTGTTCTGATCACTATTTTGTGCTCTTATTTGGCACTATTATGAAGGTTAGATATTTTTCCTTTTCTCCAAAGCATTGTGAAACTTCCTGTTAAGAGCCCTTAATTTGGATATAACCTTCCTCCAAAACTCTATTGCAAGTGATTATTTGATTGAATGGCATTTGTTTTCGTCCAATAATTGCCCGCAATCTTTAATAATTTTTGTTTTCTTATGTAATTATCAAGGACTATAAAGCTTTCCTTTTGTATACCGGTGACAAGGCCAGTAAAAGATGTCCTTTAACTTGGTGATCTTGGAATACGGCACTTACGTAAATGCAGCGTTGAGGGTTTGTTTGCTGTGTGAAAATTAGAAATGACAATAGTTCAAAAAAAAATAAAAAATTGCCAGAAGCTTTAAAAAATATTGAATGGAGAATTTAAAAGTTGCCACAGATTTTAGGTCGGTGTTGTGTGGGTTAAATGCTTAGTATAGTCCTGAAGAGTTGAGAGCAGTTGCGGTAAATAAAATTTAGCTTGAAGGGTGATTTGCATGTGTCACTTATGTGGGACTCGGAGGCAAGAAAGACATTCAGAAAATGTTTTCAGTCGTGGTATATGTCTTTTGCTCAATGCCAAAATTTTGCAAGAATTTATTGTTGCTTATAGTTTATTTATTATATTTTTGCAGGGGTGTTTTACTTGTACATGAAAACCATTGAAAGGGCTCATATGCCAAACAAGGAAAGAGTTAAGCTACACAGAAATTATGAGAAGGCTTTGGAGACTATTGATAAACATTTGGTACGTCATTACAGATCTGTTCATGATAAGCATGCTTGGTTTGCTCCAAGGTTTTTATATGTTCTTTTTTTGCTTTTGATAGCAATACTGGCCTAGATTACTTGTACACAAAATAAAACAGCGTCTCACCAAGATGACACAATATCGTATACGCATGAGAAAGCTTCAGTTAAAAGTGAGGTATACCACTATGTCCATTATCTTTACTATTAAATGATGTTCAATATGGAATGAAATTTTTATGACATTTAATATTTACACACAATGTCATCAGGAGAGGGGGGGGGGGGGGGGGGGGACTAATGTTTTGGAACTTACCTAATAACTGGATAGCTAATGTCAGATAGATATTAAGTTTACTTTTCCTAGATTCAAGGGTGTTAAATGTGCTGTACAATCCCATTTAAGCCAATCTAATGAGGCTCTCTAAGTCCATCATGGACAGGCTTGCTCAAATTTATGACGGGCTTTGCCGGTGATGGAGACCTAGAAATTTATAATTTTTTTAAAACATCAACAAAATAAATAATTAGATCAAGTACAATTGCTTTTAATTTTTTTCATTTTATTTTTTGATTTTTATTCCCAGTTATACTTGGTGGTTTGCAGCCATTTTTTATTGTTATGAGAGAAGTCCTCTATAAAATATTAGAACCGATGCAGAAAGGTTTTAGGAATTATTTTGGTAATTACTGAAGGTACCTCAAGTATTGTTTCTCGCTGTAGATGAGTTCTTTTGATTTTGACTTTTCCTTGTTTCGAAAAACAAGTCGACTGATTTCTCTTGTTGTAGAGAGCAGCTGCTGATTTGCTGTTTTTGACTCCTTAAATGACAAATACACAACAACAACAACAACAAAGCCTTAATCCCACTACGTGGGGTCGGCTACATGAATCCTTTTTCTCCATTGCATCCTATTTAGTGTCATATTTTCATTTAGTTCTAGTAAATTAAGATCATTCTTTATACAATAAGCTCAAATCTTCATAG